CGTCCATTAATGTCTTCCACCAGGTTCCCCGCCAACTAAGACTCATTAATAAGGTTGACAAGGTCGAAGAATATCTACCCGCGTAAACCATTATATTTGCCTTTGTGGGGCTAGTGGAGGATTGAACCCTTCAATACACCTCATCAAGCTCAACGCAGACCCGTCGTTGTCGAAGCTCCATTCAAGTTGGGCTTCCCAACGAACTTTGGACCATGGGCTTCATCAATAAAAACTAAACGTTGATAAGCCCATTTGAAACGGAGTTTTGCACTTCTTGGCCCAAAAGTATATTTGGGTTAAATCTTAGGTCCGAGTTTGTTTTCCTTTGAATCAACAAAAACGACCTCTATCCTTCGGATGGACCCACGACCCGGCGTTCCAAAAATCGGAATCGAGTGTAAGATCCCCAAATATTTTTCGTTTCTTTTAATTTCTTTTCCCACACTTTCTCGGCAGCCAAACAGACCGGTAGGGTTTCCATTTCTTGTTTCATTCTGAATTATTTGCCCTTCATTTTTTCTGATCTAGCTAAATTAAATTATTCAAATTATTCAAATTGCTTTTTGTTTCTCTTTTGTATTGTAGAAATTGAACTTTTCTGGTTGTGTGCATCGAGATCGAGGAGAAATCCAACATGGGGTTTTTGGTAACGACCTTAATTTTCCTTGTGATTGGGATCATTGCTTCTCTGTGTACCAGAATTTGCTGCAACCGAGGACCTTCTACTAATTTGTACGTTTCCTCATTATCCAATTTCACTGTTTTCTTTCTCATTTCTTCTTTTATTGTTTTTGGTTGTAGCTCTTAAATATGTTGGGTTTTTTTCTTTATGTACAATATGTGTTTAGCTGCTGAATTTGTTAATTTTAAGATCACACTAGTCTTACAATTTAAGAAATATTTGGTAGTGGGGAGCTTAGGATTTGATTCATGTCAATGTGCTTAGATGTTTTCAACCATACATATGATTAGGGATTTTGCTATTGAATTAGTTGCAGTATTAGGGGACGCGCTTATGCTTTTTAACAAGTTAATTGGTTGAATAACTACTCATTTATGCTTATATATGACTTTGGAGAATTATGCACTTCTTGTAATGTAAAGAGCTTTTTTATACTGGGGAA